ATGATCTGAAAATAGGCTTATTGGAAGTTACCTAGCTGGGGACTATTTTCAGGCACTGCGTAATATCATTATGTAATGCATAATATCAGATTCAATGATCTATGCTAAGCTACAGCTAAAAAAGCTACCGGACCCGGAGATCGGCTGAATGGATTCGAAAACGGTAAAACTAAACTATTTAACTCTAGGGGAGTTGGAAAATGAGCCTATTTTCAAAAATAGTGGAGTGTTCCTTTAAGACTGGTTTTGTGGTCCAGGGTCACATATACACCTAGGATGCCTTGAGGGTGAGTAGATCATGGGGTAATTTTCATTTTTGGGTGAACTATCCCTTTAAGCTGCATTTGAAATAATGTCTTACCTTGAGTGGTGACCTCTAGTGTTTCCAGTGATGTATTGACAGTATCACAGGTTTCAAGCTGCACAATGAATTCTTCTTCATTCAGAGTGGCTTCGAACTCAATACTCAAATCCGGACTCATGTGAAATCTCTGGTGTTTCATCAAGCATTTCATCATTTTGAAAGTATTCCCACATGTTAAACAATTGAAAGGTCTTTCTTTGTGTAAAGCATTGTGAATGTTTAACAGGGCCATGTCATTGAACGATACTCCACAGGACTCACAAATTAAAGGCTCATGTCTCTCCTCAGCAGCTACGTTCGTGCTTGTGGAAGGCTGGCTTTCACTCAAACTTAAACTGCCTGCCAGAATATCTGTGGGTGCAGATGACAGCTGTTGGTACTGATTTGCTGCTTGTCCAGAGTTTTCATGACGTTCTGATTCCATTTCATAATCCTTGTTCTGTTCAGACTCAAGAAGCACATTATTTTCAGACTCAGATGTGGCTCCTTGACCCTCTGTGTGAATACAATGAGAAAAAAAAAATAATAATAATAATAATGCTTTGTTTTTTGAAATACCACACTGAAAATCTTGAATTCACAATACAAATACATAATATTTAAAAAGTATTATTATTGACTGTATAAGCAGGAATCTTCAAATATCGATTAGACATCTTAAACAGATTTACAGAGCAAGGGTTTCTGGTCATTTTTTATTTATTTTTTTAATTTCTACCAAGACAAGTAGAAATAAATGCACATGGTTAAACTGTGTGTACTTTGGAAACCTTCTGCTAGAGTACACTAGAATATGGAAATAACTTTAAAGTGTATTATGCTCTTCTATCTTATATTTTACATTATTACAACACCTCTCTCCCCAGTCTGGCATGAACGGCTCGAATAGTTCCTGTATCAAATGAAGGCCTGCCTTCTGAGATACAAAATGTGCTGTGATTGGTTAGCTGGGCCAGTGAGTGTTGTGATTGGCTCCACTCGGCGCCTGGTCAGGAAATATCATGCCCCTTACCATAGCCGCCTGCGAGCTTCAGTGTAAATATTGCGTCAAAATCAAATCAATTTGAGCGCGATTTAAACCCGGATGATTGTAACCCGGATGATTGTAACCACTCTAAGTTCGTTTGCCTTGGGAAAGCTAGCGTGTCTCCGACATAGTGATAACACTCGTTGCCTTCTCTAGTGCAGCTCAACCAGGTCTCGTCCCATTCATCAGTATTTGTGATATCACAAATCCCAGAAAATATGCGTTGTAGTCCAAATGAGTCGTGAGTCACATGAAAAGTGATTTCTGTTAAATAAAATATCTCCTTTTGAATTGGACTTTGAGCTTTGTAACTTTTCAGATCTTTTTTATGCTCAAACAGCAACATTAAAGACTAACTAAAGTTGAAAAAGTGAAAAAGCATAATAGGACCCCTTTAACTTTACTGCACTTTCTGATCAGGCTGCAAAAATGTTAAATTCTTCCTCAGTATTTTTGACTAGTTTTCCAGTGCAAATGTCTAAAGATACATTTACTTGTGCTGAAAAATGACAAGATAAGAAGTCTTGTTTTCTGTGAAATTTATCAAAATGAAATGAGTTTAATTTTAAAAGCAGAAAAAATATCTGCCACATTATTCAAAATATCTTCTTTTGTGTTCAGCCAAAGAAACAAACTCATACAGGTTTAGAACTTAAAGGGCTAGTTCACCCAAAAATGAAAATTTTGTCATTAATTACTCACCCTCATGTCATTCTAAACCTGTAAGACCTCCGTTTGTCTTCGGAACACAAATATTTATATAGATATAAAGCAAATATTTAAAGATATAATAAAGATATTTTTAATTAATTCTGACAGCTCTCTGACTCTCCCATTGACAGCAATGTAATTACCACGATCAAGCTCCAGAAACGTGGCAAGGAGATCGGTAAAATACGAATTTGTTTGAATTCGTTCATAACGAAAATAAAGCAAATATTTAAAGATATAATAAAGAAATTTTTGATTAATTCTGACAGCTCTCTGACTCTCCCATTGACAGCAATCTAATTACCACGATCAAGCTCCAGAAACGTGGCAAGGAGATCGGTAAAATACGAATTTGTTTGAATTCGTTCATAACGAAAATAAAGCAAATATTTAAAGATATAATAAAGAAATTTTTGATTAATTCTGACAGCTCTCTGACTCTCCCATTGACAGCAATCTAATTACCACGATCAAGCTCCAGAAACGTGGCAAGGAGATCGGTAAAATACGAATTTGTTTGAATTCGTTCATAACGAAAATAAAGCAAATATTTAAAGATATAATAAAGAAATTTTTGATTAATTCTGACAGCTCTCTGACTCTCCCATTGACAGCAATCTAATTACCACGATCAAGCTCCAGAAACGTGGCAAGGAGATCGGTAAAATACGAATTTGTTTGAATTTGTTCATAACGAAAACAACGCATCCGCGTGACGCAGCTGACACAGAATAGCATACGCCGTTTACATTCAGTGGATATTCTCCAAAATGGCACCAGGGTGACGCGGAGGAGACGAATTGTTGAATAAAGTCGTCATGTTTGTTTTCTTTGCGTACAAAAAGTATTCTCGTAGCTTCGTAAAATTACAGTTGAACCCCTGATGTCACATGGATTATTTTACCGATCTCCTTACCACGTTTCTGGACCTTGATTGTGGTAATTACATTGCCGTCTATGGGAGGGTCAGAGAGCTCTCAGAATTCATAAAAAATATCTTAATTTGTGTTCCGAAGATGAACGGAGGTCATGCGGGTTTAGAACGACATGAGGGTGAGTAATTAAAGGGATAGTTCACCCAAAAATGAAAATTTGATGTTTATCTGCTTACCGTCAGGACATACAAGATTGTAGGTGACTTTGTTTCTTCAGTAGAACACAAACGAAGATTTTTAACTCAAACCGTTGCAGTATGTCAGTCATATAATGGAAGTGAATGGGAATCACGGCTTTGAGAGTCAAAAAAACATACACAAACAAAACCAAATTAAACCCTGCGGCTCGGTGCGATACATTGATATTGATTGTAAAGACCCGAAACGATCGGTCTGTGCAAGAAACTGAATAGTATTTATATAGTTTTTTTACATCTGATTCACCACAATGTCTGAACTGTCCTGAACGCGTTCTCAACAGCAAACGCATGACGCGTCTTCTTCCTTACGGTGGATCGCACACTCTCAATTAGGAGTGTCAAAGGTCCATTTGAGAGATAGGTGGCGGTAATGCAGTTGTAAGTCTATGATCCGTTTTGTGTCTTTACACATCAATGTATCGTCACGAGCCACAGGGTTTAATTTGGTTTTGTCTGTGAATGTTTTTTTGACTCTCAAAGCCGTGATTCCCATTCACTTCCATTATATGACTGACATACTGCATACTGCAAAATCTTCGTTTGTGTTCTACTGAAGAAACAAAGTCACCTACATCTTGGATGCACTGGCGGTAAGCAGATAAACATTAAAAAAAAATTTGGGGGTGAACTATCCCTTTAATGACAGAATTTTCATTTTTGGGTGAACTAACCCTTTTAAGGGCAAGTAAATGATATAGCCAAGACATACATAGAATATCTGAGTGTTTGCCCAGGTTTGTGATTAAGTATAAAGATGTACCATTTAGTTTGTCTTGTTTTGAGAGCTGAGACTTTGCTGTCGCTTCCGGTACTTGAGCGGAGATGTGATCATGAATCAGTTTCACCATCGTCTCTACTGTGGCTTTACTCAACAGCTCCATGAAATCAGCAAACTCCTTCTGAAACATAAAAGAGATCATTGGAGATTTAGTTCATTGCATGCAATTATTACAATTTCCTGCATGTAAAAAAACAGGTTTGATTATAATCAAATTCACTTACATTGTCCTAATAATCTTGTGCTCTATCAGAATTTAAGATTTACGATCATTACTTTGTACACACAAAATATTTGACTTCTTCAGACAACATATGACTAGAACAAGATGACCAAAGGACAAGTGTGTTTAGAGGTATTAAATGTTTTGAGTGCAATCTCCTGCTCTCATTTCCTCACAAAATGTGAATTACCAATCACTTAATATGAATATAAAAATAATGTCACACATTTTATAAATTGCCAACTCTATCATTCGCTTGAATTAATGAGATTACAGGATGTTTTCTGCAAGCTCTATTAAACAGTCAAGCTGTCATCACATTCTTGCACTGGTGACAAAACAACCATATTTTGTATAAATGCAGTATTGATTTTGTTTTTCTGTTGTTGCTAGCTACCATTAGGAGAAAAATAATGTAAAAATACCAAACAATTTCTTTCTTTTTTTTACAATTTGTGTGATGGTGGTGACGATCGTCATGATTCTTGTGACACAAAAATGTAAACCTTGCCTAACACATACTGCTAGATCATGTTTTTTTTTAATTGAACTTAAATCAGGTGTGTACACCCTCACACATTTACATATTTATATACATACATACACACACACATATATATATATATATATATACCTGATTTATTAACATAATTTTTTAATTTCCGCATGGATTAACATAAATTTTGCGAATTTACGTTTAAAACAAATGGGAATTTAAAATAGCATATTACAAAAAACACGGATACACATTATTTAACCAACAACAGCTTACTGTGAAACAGACGGAAGTTACAAGGTTAACAGGTTTATTATATTTATAATATAATTACATTCAATATGGACTTCTAAATAAATAGAAGTTGTAAATACAGCTGTCAACCAACATTTCGAAGCCTATTATGAACAGGAATGGACACTGCAATCGTTCCTCTACTCTAGAACTTACACTTTTGGCTTGATTCGCCTGTTTAAGTCGGTTTTTGTTCACTACCGTCCCCTTGTTGCGCTTCCACTCCTCAGATAAGACAGTCGTGAAGTCAGAGAGATGTTTGCTCAACTCCGACACGACACTTTCAACTAATACCCCCATAACGGAGGACAGTAACTCGTGAATTACTGCCGTCATGCTCAAAGATTATTATTCGGCACCTTCCTCCCAAAAAATATGCTCACTACCTCATCACATACAAAATTGTACCTTAAAAAGTACCCCGGCTAGCCATTTGCTTGTTAGTGGCGAGTGAACAAACGGAAGGACTTTTTTATGGAACAAAAATTTGGTGTGGAGTGTGTTTTGTTAAAGCAGTACTGCCGTCTAGAGGGTTGGAGGGATTAGTACAAGTATCAACGTCCCTTGTGAACGGAGAGGATTTGCTTATTATTTTAGGTCAAAGGTCTGTTTTTATTGCTTCTATACTGGAATCGAAATGGATGAGATTCTTGTTAAAGAGATCAATTTTGATATTTGCTTATTTTTCACTCCTAGAAAACAAATGTTTTTGTGAATTTGTGAGATAATTGCATGCAACTATTTTTGATTATTTTATGCATGTTTGTTGTGACACAAAAACTAAAACCTTGTCGAAGAAGAGGTCTTAGGTTTTTTTATGTACAAATATTTCTTTAAGTTTTCAAAAATACCTGACGTGTGGACAGAAACTAGGTATATTTGAAAGTCATTGTTATTGTTTATTTATTTGATAGGGACAATGCATGTTAATGAACATTTGTAGTAATACAGAATGTAAACAAGACGGATTATAGCAACATTGCTAATTTACACCCGCAGTTCCTAGGCAGATACACACAAGGACACAGACTCAAATACACATACAACAGCACATAAAAGACATTTGAATATTTCTAAGTAAAATGTTTACACAACTGATTCTTCATAAGACAGTTTTTGAAATGATCTTTAAAGGTATGATAAGTAGAACATTGTCTTATTGACTGCGGTAAGCTATTCCAATATTTACTCCCAATTACAGATAATACATTCTGTCCAAAAGATGTTCGCCTATATGGCACCTCACAATCTCCTCTAATAATAGACTTAGTACCAATACTACAATCTGCCCTCGGTTTTATTAATTCAATTAACGGAGGGGGAGCAAGCCCATTCAAGACCTTATAAATAAAACATGCATATTTAAAATTTGTAAAATTTTCAAAACTCAATAGATTGTTTTTTTTTAGAATATTACAGTAATGAAAGTTTAGGTATATTTTAAGCATGTTTTGTTAAAGCATCAATATGGATGAGATCCATATTAAAGAACTTAGTTTCTGATCATTGCTGATTTTTCACACCAAGAAAACAAATGGTTTTATGAATTTGTGAGATGCATGCAATTCTTAATAATTTAATGCAAGCAAAAATTCTTTAGAAATTGTAAAGACAAAAATTGAAGATGCATTAATTAAATAAATAAATAAATAAATAAATACAAATGAATACATTTACCAATTGAATAATATTTTGTGTAAATCTGGCAAATTACACAAACATGATAGCCATTCCAGGACCCAAACTTGATTAGTTTTGTAGTTTATTGGATGTACACAAAATATTTTATTTTACATCTTTTGCAATTTAACAATCTAATAAAACAAATATTGAATTCTGAATCGTAATACAATCAACAAAATTATAATACAGTTACACAAATGTATAGGACCAATAATGATCTTTGACAAATTTGATTCTTTTTACAATTTTGTAAGTTCAAGATGTAAATGAATGTCATTTTGTTCCATTGTGCGATATATAGATAGTAGAGGCAAAGCTTAATTATCTGTAGCCTCTGCCTCAGCTCCTTGGCTCTCAGGTTGAGGTTGAGGGCTCTGAGGAACAGGACTTTTCACAGCAGGAGTGTATGTAATGGGAATCACTCTCTCGTTGCTCACAGCATTGGCTTCTTTGGGTGCTTCTATCTGTAGCTGTCCATTATTTAAAGAGCAGGTCACCATCTCAGGATTCACACCTTGAGGAAGGTCAAACTCCTGCCTGAATTCTTGGCATCTGTACGAGAACGATCCTTTCCCATCGTCTTGCTTCTTCTCTGTCTTGCCGCTCACCCGCAACTTCCTGTCCACTTGTTTAACGGACAGCTCCTCTGGAGTGAAATCCTTTGTATCTAGTGTCAGTGCATAGAGGCTTCCTTCTTTTCCGAGCTGGAATGAGATGGGTTTGAAAGTCGTCATGGGTGAAACGTGGTCAATCTCATCGAAAATCCTTTGGTGCAGGCATTCCATGAACTCCAGGTTGTGTCTCATCTCCTGCAAGTGTCTCATCATTTCTTTCTCGATCTGAAAGAACAGAGGTCTGGTCTCCGGCCACAGACTGCGCACTGGCCAGTGGAAGTCCATGAATGGGCTGAGGTGAGGCTGAAATGTGCTTGGGCAAAGCATTTTTGGTGGCTTTTCTGTGCTGTTTTGAGCTGGTTGAGTTCTTCTGTGCTTCTGTCCCAATGAACAAGACCTGAGGCTTTTATATGCTGTCTTGGAACATTCCAGTAACGCTCCTCTATTAGCACTACAGTGTGTGTCAGCCTGTCGAAGATCTGCTATGACTGAGCACATGCTGTCATGTTCCAAAACAAGTCGGCTGTATTTTTGTGATCCATCTGTTAAATACCAGAGAAGTACATCATTGGTCTATTTCCAGTGACCACTCTGGCGCTCTGCATAACTTTCTATTAAGGGAAGAGGTTAATGCAAGAGGCTGATACAAGGTTTTCCTATCGTATAGCAATATAACATACCTAATATTAACACATATATTAAATATAATAACTAATCAAGGTTACTGTGAGAAATAGTTCAATGTCACATCAGGGCATATTTTGTGTGTGTGTGTGTCAGAACTTACTTCATATTCTGTCAGCTGTGTTTACATTTAACTTACAAGCGTTCCAACATGCTTTCTAATCCTGCAGGTTTCTGAAACTGACACCTGTGTTGGCATCGGTGACGTCACCTCCAGAAATAGATTCAAATAGAAGGAACAACTTTAACTCAGGTGGAGACATAATGTACTCTAATATTTAATCTGTGGCTGATAAAAAAATGTATCATCACTAAGAGACTGATTTCAAATATCTATTTAGGAAGTAGGCTTTGATGGAATTCATCTTTATAACTATAACCTGTCTTATCAAAGATTTTGTAATTATAGTTTTTCAAAGGTTTACACAGTTTGTACAATTTGTATTTTAATGACAAGGCATGCATGACACACCAGAATGGCAATGGGCAGTTGACAAAACTGATTTATTTCTAAATCGTTTGCACTGCTACTACTAAATAAATACATACCCTACATTAATTGAGAGACTGTATAAAATATTTATACATATTAAAAAAAACGAAATTTTCACACTGTAAGACTAAGTCAACAGGTTGTTAAAATTATAAGCAACAATACTACTACTACTACTAATAATAATAACAACATTAATAAAAGGCCTAACAAATTAATAAATGAATACCCTATATTAACTGAGAGACTGGGTTGAATATTTATACACACTACACTGTAGGAATATTTAAGTGAACTTCTAAAAAGGTTTAAAATTATTACCATATTATTGTTTTTTATTTAAAAATGGTGAAAAACGGGCAAAAAGTTGATGGACATGTACTGTGTACAGTGTAGCCTACTGACAGACAGCAGGGAGAATCAAATCAGAGCAGAGCAGAGACTTCCTCTTCTCCTGCCTGAAGAGAAGATCCGTTCAAACATGGTTCCTCCCGTACAGGTCTCCCCGCTGTCTGAAGGTCTGTAACACTCTCTCTCTCTGTATGCACACACACACACACACAATTTTATTCTACAATATAACAATAATAAAATATAGCAAAATATATCAGATGGTGTTACAAAAAGTGTATTTTTGTGGTGGTATTTTAACCTTGGCCCACCTGTTAGTTTCTTATCTTTGTGTTTCAGTGAATGCGGATATTTTACATTAACCAGCCTTATGTAGAGGGGAGATACAGTAATGTTGAAATGGTGTTTGACGAAAGAAATTAGTCCTCTTTTTGTTTTGTCATACATTAGCAGTGTCTCATTATGTAGCATGTCAGTTTTCACCTACTTGAAAATTAAGTTATTCATTGAAAATATTCAGTGAATCAAATGCAAAGCAGTGCTGTTTATGGAAAGGAATTTCAGGGGATATATTTCTTCTCACAGGCTACAGGGTGTTAACTTGACCACAAATAATTCAAAATATTAAAATATCTTAATATTTTTTTATCTCCACAGCAAACTCTGACACCATTCTGAAGTAAATCTCCATGATGTATTCATTCCAGCACCAAATGAAATGAATCACAATAAACCTAATTTTATTTTCAATAAAGACAGAAGGTAAAAATATTCTTGTATGTTTTCTTTTTCCTCATTGCCATTATTCAGGTAATTCTGATTATATGCATCATAAGGGCGTCTGCATACCTTTTCAGCAAGAAAAGAACATTTTCATTTGGTTGGGTTATAGTTATATGCACTATATGCATGACAAACCAAGATCATTCTCTGAGAATGTGTTAAGAACTGTTTTGTCTTTCCTGCACTGCTGTGGTGACGTTTATAGAGGGAGGACGGTTGTATAACCTGACCATGGTTTAGCATAAATCCCAGGATTTAGGTCAAGCCAATACAGCACAAGTGCTGATTTTGCACAAATGCTTCACAGCTACTTAGCTGCGGTGCTGCACTTCATTAACTGTTTAAAAAAGCTCTGCTTTCCTTCATTTATAAACAACATTTCTTCTGAGTTAATCTAAAAACCCAAAACTGCCATGACTTTAACAGAGACAAAAATATTGGAAGTCTTGTAAGAATATTGTCAGAGGATTTATTGGGAAATGGAATGTGTAGGGATGTTCAGATAACCTTTGCAGATGACACTCAGTTACAGTATCTAGGAAGGGAAGGGTGGAAACTGCTGATAGTTCTCATGGGATAAGAGGATTTCTTATCGAGTGACTCATTGAGTAGATGTGTGAAGAGAATCAAATCCTTTGTAGTTTGAAATAGTCTCAAATTGATATTGTTATTGCTTTAATATACTACCCATCAAAAAAATTGGGGTCTGTAAGTTATGTTTTATGTTTTTGAAATAAGTCTCTTCTGCTCACCAAGGCTGCATTTAATTGGTAAAAACAGTAATATTGTGAAATACTGCAGTGTAAAATAGCTGTTTATTTATTTTTATATATTTTAAAATGTAATTTATTCCTGTGATGACAAAGCTAAATTTTCAGCAGCCATTATTCCAGTCTCACATGATCCTTCAGAAATCATTCTAATATGCTGATTTGGTGCTCAAGAAGCATTTCCTGCTGTAACGTGATACATTTCCCCCCCAGTATTCTTTTATAAATAGAAAGAACATCATTTATTTGAAATAGTCAACCTAAGTACTAAGAAAAACACAAAGTTCATAAAAATATATGCTTTAATTGTCATTGTATTGAGCATACAGAAGTGAAGCTTAATGTTTAATAATTTAATTGGAATCATCCATATTTGATGCTGTATTTTTGATGGTTTGCGAGCATCATATTTGAAGATGAATCAAAATAATCAAATTCATGTTAAAAATGATTAAACTTGCTCTGCAAGTAAATCACATTTGTGTCAAATTCAAAAAGACTCAATAAGTCTTCTTATCGGGCCCTCGCTGTCAGATCTGACACATTGATTTAAACATTAATTTTCATTGCTACTGCCTGATTCTTTGCTACTTAAATTAAACCTTTATGATATGTGAAACAGAAGCAGCAGCTTTGTATTATAAGCTTGTAAAATACATTAAGTACACTAAAACACACCTTTGTAATTTTTACTTTTAACAGTATGTAAAGTCGTACCTCATAATGTTTAAAAATAAATTTTGTGTATTTACACAATTAGATTCACAACTGATGTTTTTACGATGTTTTATAGACAACTAGTGAAAGAAAAACTTGATTCCTACAAAAAAAGTCAGACATAAGAAGAAAAAAATTGCCTGAATCTGAATACCTTCATGAATTTAAAGGGATAGTTCACCTTCAGTTGCTGGTCCCCATTGACTTCCATAGTATGAAATAAAACACTATGCAAGTCAATGGGGACCAGCAACTGAAGGTGAACTATCCCTTTAATCACAGACTTCTCAAGGTTCAGTGTGATGACGGGTCAGCTGAGAACAGATGAATGATATCAAGGCCACTGGAATTAGTTTTCTCTGTGAACGCATGTCCCAACAGCGGAGACACTGAGTAACGGGACATTGCTCAGTAAAACACACCCATGACAGCACTTGATGTAAATAAGTCTGAAGGACAATTGCGCATTACCTGTCGGCTTAAGTGAAACAAAAAAAAAATCAAACTATAACTTTAACCCAATCTTTATACATGCTGACCACCACTGTATTCTGCCATCTAGCTTACCAGAAACTATTTTGTGGCGCACTAAGGTCTGTCACCTACCTTCTCACATTTAGCAACCTGCAATGTTAGCTTCCATCTGTACAATGTGATTACATTTAGAGGGAATAAATGACAGAAAAAAATACGTATCACTCATATAATGGCCTTTGTTTTCTGATATTCAGTGAAAGTAGCAGGTGACAACAAATGAGACATTAAAATTACAAAATGGAGGAAAAGTTAACTAGACCTGCTTGATACTAAATAGCAGCTGATAAATAAAAATAAATGAAAACCTATCCATACAAGTAATTTATAGATAATGCTAATATCTTTGATTGCATGGAGAGAAAAACAAAATAAACTTTTTTTTTTTTTTTTTAAATAAGAACCATATTTTCAATATTCACCTCTGAATTTTCCTGTAGTGCATCTAAGTCTGCATTGTGATTAACTGAAACCGAGTACCATCCTATAAAAATGCTTGAACACTGTGACCCAAAGGAAACACAATGGAACAGTAATGCTAACTGTAGTAGGCAAGATCCAATGTGTGTTTTGGTTAGCAGGTGGTCTTGTGGCCTGCTGGTAGCATATAATGCATTGACAGTGTTTTCCCACTCACTCTTGATCAGATCCTTGGGGATCCTAAGGGTGATGTTGATCTGTGTGATGTACTATATCTCAAACTGCCTTGCCCTCTGTAACGTCGTCTTTTCTCTAGCAGATAGAGCAGGTCTTGGATCCTGATCCTGATCCACTGGTGCTGTTGGAATTTGCAGCTGTAGAGAAACCGTACAGAAACAAACACAAAGAGTCCGAATGAAAGAAATGCATCATATCATACGATATATGGCCGACAGGTTGTGGACACTCTTTTGTTATTGGCTATTCTAGTTCAGGTCTGGGCTTTTTGATGGCCAATCAAGTTTCTTGGAGATTAATGAAGTTCTTGATGTTTAATTACATGTTCTTCAGGTTAGCTTTTTGTGTCTGGGTTCTTTTGTAGAAGTCAAAGTGTTTTTTTTTTCATGTTAACAGACTGCAAAACCCTTTTTATAGCAGTAAAGTGAGGACCATTTTTCCTATTAATCTGTAAATCTGTACAAGCAAATATAGGTGTGGATTTCGGGTGTCTACATACCATTGGCCATGTAGCATGTCAGTGTACACTTCAGTACCTTTCAAATATTTGGGGTCATTAAGGTTTTTAAATTAAATTGATCAAAGATAAAATTATACTTTACTTGAAGTATAATAATAAAAAATGTTTACTGAACAGCAAATTAGAATGATTTCTGAAGGATAATGTGACACTGAAGACTGGAGTAATGAATGCTAAAAATTCAGCTTTGCCGGCACAGAAATAAATGACATTTTATTTTAAAATATATTAAAATAGATACGTTTTGTTGTTGTAATAATATTTCACAATATTACTGTTTTTACTGATTTTTTAAATAAAAATGTATATTGTTATGTCAAACGTCAACTTGATAATGAGCTACATTTTAAGAGGGTCTGAATGTAGGTTCTTCCTAATTTAGTAGAAATACAGTGAACAAAGGATATAGATTAATAAAATCTTAAGCAAACGATTAAAATTCAAACCATTTTTGGTAGCTGCTTCCTGTCTGGCCTTAGCTGCCTCCTCCATTGCCTTTAGTTTTGCCTCATATTCCTCCTGCCTCTCTTTCCAATGCATCCGGTTGTTCAGAATGCCATCATGCATGGGCTGGATCTCGTGGTGAAAACGAGAGAATTCCTATGGGAAACAAAGAGGGAGGGGTTGCTAATTAATCTTAATGTTAAAAACAAAATGAGAATGATTTGGTCATTTTTTTTCTTGAAACAAACAAACAAAAAGATCAGTTCCCTTCATTCATAAAGGTACCTTGTAGACAAAAGTACAGACAAAATCGATAAAACCACACTGAAGCTTTGGCAGCTCTGCGGCTTTGTTCCTGTCCATCATGGGCTAGATTAAAAGACAAACACCACATGATTGTTTTTTTTTTTTCCACCAATGGTTTCCAAGATGGGAGCTTTCCTAGCAGCTCAACCACCAATATTAGATTCATGTACTCACGATAGGTTGTTGCTCAAGAACAGTCCTCTCAAGATCACCCTGCTCCCAGAATTCAGCTGCTACAGAGAGGGCGACCTAGGATGGGAGAAATTACACTTATATATTGCTGAGAAGCAAAACTGTAGTTATTCTTCATTTGACATCTCTTACCTTGCTCTGTACCTCCCATGGTTTTGCGATAGCTGAGAGGTCACATGCTGTCATCATCATGGCCCTGGTCAATTATTAAAAATATAAAAACACGCAAAGCCCAAATGGATTATTTCTAAGAGATGTATTATGCTAAAATGCCTAGCGGAAGTTGTAAATGGACACACTTACATTACAATTTCTTTCCTTGTTGTTTCAAGAGACATGAAGTCCACCCATTTCTTCTGATCTTCATATGTCTCAGAGAGATCCACAATTTTCTGGAACATTGTTCTCTTTCTTTAAGGTAGAAAAAGTTCATATTTTAAAACTTTTGTCTCATTTTAGGTTTACATTTAAAGTGAAGTGATGTGACATGTGGCCAAGTATGGTGACCCATACTAGGAATTAGTACTCTGCATTTATCCCATCCAAAGTGCACACACACAGCAGTAAACACACACCCGGAGCAGTGGGCCGCCATTTTTTTGCTGCGGCACCCAGGGAGCAGCTGGGGGTTCGGTGCCTTGCTCAAGAGCACCTCAGTCGTGGTATTGAAGGTGGGAGAGCGCTGTACATTCACTCCCCCCACCTACAATCCCTGCCGGTACGAGACTCAAACCTGCAACCTTTGGGTTACGAGTCCGACTCTCTAACCATTAGGCCACGACTTCCCCTTTAGTTTCACTTCTTTAAATGAACAGCAACGGTCACTATAAACTGGCACTATACAAACAGCTGAAGAAAAAAGTAACTGTATATGAGTTTGAAACCACATAGTGACAAGTAAATAATGCATTTTCATTGTTGCGTGAAAAATTCCTTTAAAGAGACTAAAACATACTACTACGTATGATATATTGTCAAACCTTACTTGAAGTACAATGCAAGATCAGTTGCAATAATGGCAATGTCAATGAGGTGGAAGACATGCTCCGTTTGTCTTCTGTTGAGGTTCTGGAAGATGTTTAATGTCTAAGAAAAAAAACATATGTTAGGGTCAAATCAAATTAATACGAAGGCTCACATTCTGGACAGTTTGCTCATACCTCGTCGCCTAACAAGAATTTGCCAAAGTCCAAGTGATGCCTCTCTAGAATGGAGGATCCATGTAGCTTGGCTAGAGGATTTTGGGACCTTATCACAAAACATACAAATGTGATGAAGATTATTATTAGGAGAAGCAATAATAGTACAAGTACTAGTAGAACTAGTAGTAGTATCTACTGACTTCACTTGGTAGAGATTATTTGTGCCTCTGTGGTCGATATCATGCAGGAAGCCTGCAGTGATCATGGCCATCACCTCCAAATCTGTGTAATACTGCTTCAGTTTGCCTGTCTGGCTCCATAAAAAACAAAAAATTATTTTCATTATGATTTTTTCATTTTTTGAATGTGTATCTAAAATTTGTCATGAACAACAAAGATGCAAAAATATGTTTGTCTGAAACCGGATCAAACAAACTTGTTTGGAAACAATCATTATGTTTGAAATTCTGTTTCATACTTCATTTTTTAAATGTGTAAATCAACAACATACATTTAGTTTGGACCCTAAACAAGTAATCCTAAGTAAAGGTAAGCTGAGCAGGTCATACCGTGAGTAAAGTGAACATGGTTTGCCCAACATTGAAGCCATGGCGCCAGTTGTGGTAGGTGATTTTCCTGTAGCCTTTGCTCACTGAGTACATGAATCTTACCAAAACCTAATTGGAAAATAGCAGCCAATTTTATGGAATTCCATGATGCTTCACGACACAAATCAGGTGTCTCCATCATTATAAACAAGCAAATTTACCTCCTGAGGGACCTGAAACTTTTTAACCACTCCAACTTCATAGTACATCTGAATCCCACACATTACAAGTTCCAGTTCGGTGCAGTCAAAGTCTGAAAAATGGAATGCGTAGATCTCAAACTTTTTTGGACCTGGCAGCTCTTTTTTCTGCATAAAAATAATAATAATAAAAAAGTCAGTCAGTGCATAACTTTTGCAAAACATAAACCAATGCAAAAGGAAAATATGCAAAGTATTTTGAATAATGCAATAATAGCTGAAACAGCATATCTTAAACTTAATTAGTATATGGAGAGAATCACAATAGACATATCTGAAAGCACCTGTAATGTTTTAAATAATGGATTCCTATTAAAGGCGACTTTATCTTATCTATCTGAGAAGATTAAGATCAGCCAGTAATTTCAAAATCTTTAATTAATAAGCAGTTCAGTGTACCAGAATTTCCAAAAGCTCGTCCTCCTCACAGTCTCTTGGTTCTCTGTCAAAATATTCTCTTGTTTTCTAGAATAGAAATACCAAAGAGAACAAAAATAAATAGTAATAAAATAAAATAATAAAATAATAATAAGTATAAACTTACAAGGATGTTTTGAATCTCATCATCTCGACATTTGACATGGTACAGCACCATGTCCTGGGCAATGTCCTTCCTGTTCTCCAGCTTATTCATTTTGTCATAGGTGTCTGTGTTGAGGACTGACCAGCCCAGAAACTGTGTCAAAGCCTGTCGAGACAGCAACGCATTGTTCCGCAAGTCAACAAGTTGTTGAATTCAGTCGGTAAATGACCATTCTCAGTAATGCAACCAATTTTACCTCCATGAGTTGTTCATCATGGTCATCAAATGGTTTGCCGTCCTTCCTGTTGTAGAAAGTTGCAACGCCAACAATTTCTTCTTTTTTGTTGACAATTGGCAGGGACAGCACATTCTTGATGGTCCATCCACTGTCATCCAGAGCTTCCGTCTACAGAAACCCAAAGTGTTATTACTGCAAGTCAAGGGAACTTCAACCATTAAACATGTTTTAGACCAGGGCTCCTCAAATCTTGCCCTGGAGGGCCAATGCCCTGCAGAGTTTAGCTTCAACCCTAATCAAACACACCTGAGCGAGCTCATCAAGGTCTTCAGGATCCATTAAAAATCACAGGTAAGTGAGTTTGATCAGGGTTTGAGCTAAACTCTGCAGCACAGTGTCCCTCCAGGACCGGATTTGAGGAACCCTGTTTTAGACAGTAAAAAAAATTAAATAAAAATACCTGAAAGTTGAACATTTCATCTGCTGCTGCATTCATGATGTTGCAAATCTTAAATACACAACAGAAATGAATAAGTGAATACTATATGTAATTACTTAACTTTTCAAAAATCAACCATACTTTATTCCCAAAGTAATAAAGGAGTCACTTACAAATCCACTCTCTGCAACATATGTAGGTAATCCACTAAGGGCCCACGACCGATCTAAAGTATCCAGATAGAAATTTGTTACCCATTCTCAATGGCAAAGTGGCAAAATTGCTCAAAAAATTGCCCCGTGTATCATCAGCCTTAGTTAATGCATTAACTACATTGAAAAAACAAAATGATACTAAATTTTTTAAGGTAAGTGGTTGCAATCAATTTATTTTAGCTACATTTAAATAAGCAAATTTAGTTGACTAACTTTCAGCTAAATTTGATTATTTAAATGTAGCTAAAATAAATTGATTGCAACCACTTACCTTAACATTTTTTTGTCAATTCAATGAATCCTTTTTTTTCAGTGTACCATTAAATAACAATGATAAACACATTTGTTACTGTATTTATTAATCTTTGTTAATGTTAGTTAATAAAAACTATTCATTGTTAATCCAAGTCGAATAAATAATATTAACAGATCCAACTTTTGATTTTAATAATGTATTAGTAAAGGTTAACTAAGAATAATAAATGCATTAGATTTTTTTGTTACACTTTATTTTAGTGTCCTTGTTACAGTGTAATTATACATTTAAGTACTGAGTAGTATTAATGAACTCCATGTACTTACTTTATGGCTAGGATGAGGGTTTGGTTTAGGGTTAGTTGCATGCAATTATGCATAATTTATTGTTATTACTATATGTAATGTGTAACAAGGATACCGTAAAATAAAGTGTTACCATATTTTTCATTGTTCATGTAAACTAATGCAATTAACTAATGTTAATGGAACCTTATTGTAAGGTGTTACCAAAAATTCAGTGTTTGTCCCTTGTTTAACAAAATAACTAATACAGCAGAGATAACAAATTGAAATAATTATGTAATGTTGTAAAACCCACAACCTATTGTACAAATTATTAAACAAACAATCTGTTCTAAGTTTTTGTGTGATTCAACTACTGAGAAGAGATTTGGTCACTGTATAAATGCCACATGTGAAATCCTTCATGCTGGACATGGGTCATAAATGGATTATGTCAAGAGGATTTGCCAAGCCTCAAAATATGACCATACCTGCAGTCTAATAATGCATAATAGTGTCATGAGTCTCTTTCAATCAAGTTTTACAGTTTGTCTGATCTGTGTACAGATGCAATGTTTTCTTTTGTACCTGTGTAACATCCTTCACATTGATGGGCTTCTTGGTTTGAGCCACATGTCCTACTATACCGATGTCCAGAGGGAAGACGATCTCAGAGTCTGGAGGCACCACACAGTCATCAAGCTCAGAATTTTCATTAACGTTGAAGAGACGAGTAGCCAGCTCAGCGATACCGTTCCGCTGTCGATACATGAACAAGCTACATCGGTCGGCATGAATCAGAGCACTGACCCGCTTCAGAATCTTAAAAATCACCTTCTCCATATTGACGTTCTCTTGCATGTCTGTAATGAGATCGTAGAATATCGCTCCTTCCTCTACCGAGCATATGTCCTTAAAACTGTTCATATCCACTTTAGACTCGGGTATTCGCACGATCGAGGCCACAGCACCAGGTTTGAGCTTTTTGTCAAAATAGCTCCTGGCAAAATCTGGATTTCCATCCAGGAACTTCTCCACGTCTTCTTTTTTGACACTCATCTTGGGATCTTCTGCCCCAATCCCAGTACTGGCAGGTGATGGCCAAGTAATGAGAGTTCAAATGAGCTTTCAGGACAAAAACAGAATATTTAGAGCATATAATCCTCAAATGGTTGAGAAAACGAAGAATCACGAGATGAGATGCCTGCCACAGCAGGGGCAACCCGTGTCCAATCGAACTGTCATCAGCAAGGTGTTTTTCTAATAGTGTTGAAGGTGAATCAGGATCTGCTCAAGTAAAACTGATCAGGTGACCTGCATCAAAGCCTGAGCCCAGAGCTGAAACCGACCGCCGTCCTCCTCTGAATGCTCTCTTTGTCCTGGAAAGAGAAGAGATGCTCTTAATGACCGTTTTAGAGGAAAAGCTATACGACAAAGTATGTGAGTGGTAATGCACAATCATATGCTTTGTTCCTCTTTGTCTCCTCTCCCAGAAGCCTGGCCTTTGCGCTACAAGCTCTTTAAGTTCTTATTAAAAACACACTCCTCATTACTAAGCCCTATTTAACCAGGCCACTAGCTGATTATCTCAGCACCCCAGTTGTCTTCTTACTCGGTGTGACTGCAACCATGGGAGCAATGAAAGGGCTTTCCTTAAAAAATGGAAAAGAACAAATGTACAGTGCATGTGAATATTAGTCATTAAAAAAGACCAAAAGATGACCAGACATAGTAATATTGTACCTGAACTACTATACTATTTTCAGAGAAAAATTATAAAATAAAATAACACATTCTCAGCATCCAATAACTCCGTATTTCATTCTATGAAAGTATAGTACTGCCATTTTGTATAGCAGTAACATGGATTAGCATAAAAGTGGGACCACTGCAGATACAGTATATATAATTTGCAATATGTAACTGGTAGACTGTGATTCATATGCCATTGTGTGCCAATATTATGAACACTGTACACCAATATACAGTATTACATAATGAGTGTTTATTATTTGCAAACAGAATACATTATAGTGGCATAACCAAAAAGCTAGCGGAAGAATTATGAACAAGATCAAATTTAAACAATGCAAAAATAAAAATAAAATAATGCAAAAATGAAATAAATGTATGGTGCTTATTTGGAAACCTTTTTTTTAAACCTGTTGGTCTTGGTTCTGTTGGTTTTGGTGCATTCTAAATACTCCTAATAAAAACTACTGAGGGATATGGACCTAGATGGAATAACGATACAGAGTCTTATCATAAAATGCAGATAATCCTTTTGTTGAGGTAAAGTTAATTTCTATATAAAGGCCTCGTATCCATCTTAAGCAAAAGGTCATGAGGATAATCAGCATATTAATAGCTCCATACGTGCACAAAACAAGTCAGAGCTTTGGCTCCTGAGGGTAGGTCCTGTGTGCATCTGTGAGTGCTGATACATCTCTAATGTTTTGGTGTACATTTAGAAGCTGTAGGCCTAAATGATTAATAGTCAAATGTATCCAGTTGTCAGTTAGATGCCAATACACAAAGATTGCAACTAAATCAACCTGTTAGACAAAGTGCAATATCTTTGGAGTAGCCTGAGGAAATGGGAATGGGAATCCACTCTACTAGAGTGTGAACCTCAACCTCTTTATTAGCACATCAGATCTATAACCAATACGATATCACCAACCAATGTATTGATAAGAATAACGGATTCCTATGTACAATTTTCGATAATGTGTTCATGTTTGTTTAAACATTTAAATTGTAATATGTAAGACACTTTTATTCTTTGACATGTCAACAAACATTTTATTTTGTGGGTGTCTGTGTGACCCACATAACAGCAGAACTCAGAATCTGAATCCAGCCCAAGTGTTTTTGTGCCACCTAGTGATAAGAATCAGTCATTATTCTGCACTCTTAGAAAAATGGTAAAAAAAAAGAAAAAGAAAAGCTGTCACTGGGGCAGGTACCTTTTCTAAAGGCACAAATATGTACACTTTAGGAACTAAGATGTACCTTTGAGGTACCAACATGCACCCTTTAGGGGTAAGTAAGTTACAGAGATTGAATTTGAAAAGGTACCGCTGCAGTGACAACTTTTTTTCTGAGTGTGCTGATCAGGATGATGCTACACATTAACCAAATGAAACTGAAAATAAATACATTTTTAATCCCTTGTAAATAAAAGACCTCAAGGTGATAAATCAAACAACAAATTATACACATAACAGCAGAACTCAGAATCTGAATCCAGCCCAAGTGTTTTTGTGCCACCTAGTGATAAGAATCAGTCATTATTCTGCACTCTTAGAAAAATGGTAAAAAAAAAAAGAAAAAGAAAAGCTGTCACTGGGGCAGGTACCTTTTCTAAAGGCACAAATATGTACACTTTAGGAACTAAGATGTACCTTTGAGGTACCAACATGCACCCTTTAGGGGTAAGTAAGTTACAGAGATTGAATTTGAAAAGGTACCGCTGCAGTGACAACTTTTTTTCTGAGTGTGCTGATCAGGATGATGCTACACATTAACCAAATGAAACTGAAAATAAATACATTTTTAATCCCTTGTAAATAAAAGACCTCAAGGTGATAAATCAAACAACAAATTATGTTTTTTTTGTAATTGTCTAAATGCTTTTGTCTCTTCCTACAAAACCCACAAGGGTGCAGTTTGACTCATTTCACTGAACTCATGTGAACTTATTGATCTCACATGCAAATGATCTTGCAATTCGCACAGTGTGACTGAACTCAATTGATCTCAGCTTTTTTATACTGCAGTCCTTGCACTGGCCGATGGGGAGGGAAGCTGAAAACTCCTGGGGAAAATTTAGATTTGCAAAATTGACTGTGTTGGGGACTGTTCTAGACCACTATCCTGACAGGCATTTATAAATCTTGCGCAGTTAGAATGTGCTAGCCAAGTACTTGTTAATCTGTAGCTAACACCTTTAGACAAAGTTTTCACAGGACACGTGCCATGATCTAAAGGTGGACATTTTTAAATTTTTTATCAATTAGAGGGCAGAACAGATTTTTCAGCTTTTTTTTTTGGTCATGCTTATAATTTAGAGGCCTTACAGTTTCATGCATCAAATACATAAGCTTAATAGGGTTAAAGACCCCCTGTTCTTTTACAGTGTGTTTTTGGTCCAACTCATGAGCATGGTCATACTCGTGATCTTGTTTTATCTTTGGGGTTTTCTGTTGGTAATCTGAAGATTGTTGATACCGTTTTTTCTGATCATAAGACTGTTCTTTTTAGCTCTAATTTTCCATGTGACGTCTTAAGTAATGTTTCTGTTCCTGTCGCATCTCGTGTACTCACTCCTTACACAGCTAATAGTTTTTCAGCAGCTTTTGAGGTTTCCCCTTTACTTACTTTGTTTGAATCTCCCTGTCATAGTATGGATTTAGAAGAGTTGGTTAATCAATTCAACGCTTCTTGTTCTGATATTTTAGATGTTGTGGCTCCTTTCAAGGCTAAGAAAAACAAAGTTAAATTACAGCCCTGGTTAAATAATACTACCCGTGCTCTCAGGCAGGAGTGCAGGAGGGCTGAACGTAAATATAAATTACAGGTCTCTTATGAGATTTTGAAGAACTGTCTGAATGAATATCAAAGGGCTGTCAAATTAGCTAGAGCAAATTATTTTTCTGCCATTATTTCCAGAAACTGTCATAATTCTAGAGTACTTTTTTCTAGTCTCTGCATCAATGTCTGACAGAGGTTAAGTGCTGGTTGGCAAATAATTTTCTTAAATTGAATGAAGATAAGACAGAGACGATTTTATTTGGTAATAAGGGTTATGTTAATGATATACTGTATATGACTGCCTGGGGCAGTTTCCTGGGAAGAAACTGTCCTGTGTAAAAAACCTTGGTGTCATCTTTGACTCTGAGCTCAAATTTGACCGGCAAATTAATGCTGTTGTTAAAAATTGCTTTTTCCATCTAAGGTCAATATCTAAGCTGAAGTCCATGCTCACTTTTGAAGATATGGAGAAGGTTGTTCATGCTTTTGTGTCATCTCGTTTGGACTATTGTAATGTGTTGTATCTGGGTTTGAATCAGCTCTCTCTCTCTCGTTTGCAGCTTGTCCAGAACTCAGCTGCCAGACTTTTAACAAGTACAAAGGGGAGAGAGCATATTACTCCTGTGTTAATCAAACTGCATTGGTTACCTGTACGATACAGAATTCATTTCAAAGCGTTGCTGTATGTTTATAAGGCTGTGCATGGTCTATCACCTGACTATGTTACTGATTTAATTAGTGTCTGTCAATCCAGCAGATCTCTGCGCTCAAATGAACAACTACTCCTAATGGTTCCGCGATCTTGTCTAAAATGTAGAGGGGATCGTGCTTTCTCTGTGGCAGCTCCTAGGCTCTGGAATGCCCTTCCTCTGTCTATTAGAACTTCTCCAACTTTGGGTGTTTTTCAGAGTTCGCTTAAAACTCATTTGTTTTCTCTAGCTTTTGACAATGTTTTTTAGCTGTGTATGATATTTGTTGTTACTATTATTTATGTATTTTTATTTTATTTTACTATTATTATTTTTCATTTGTTTTTATATTATTCTTATTATTCTTTTTTCCCCCCTTATCTTTCTCTGTACAGCACTTTGGTTCCAGTCGTGGTGTTGAAAGTGCTTTATAAATAAAGTTTGAGTTGAGTTGAGTTGAGTTCTCTGAACTGGAGCATGAAACAATGCATGTGATTCCAGAAAACAAGCTTAATCTAGTGCATCATTTAATGCAGCAACATGTGCATGGTCAGCACTGGTGTATGAACTCACACTAAGGAGTGCCTTTGTTTGAATATTTTCATAGGTTGGCCAGGAGAAAACCTTGAGAACACGGGGGATGTGAAGGATTAGGATCAGGCTTTATGGGGTGAAGTCCATGTGGACGACAAACAAAACAAGAGGGACACAGATGCATTTTTGCATGTGCTGAAGTTGAAGGAAACAGCAAGGTGTGAAAATATCCACTGAGAAAAAATGTATGGTGAAAATGTAATGAAAAAAAAAGTGGTGTTTGCCATTAAATTAATGACCTTTGCTTTTTCATAAAAGCTTTAACCAAGTAAGAGGCAATTGTTAAAGCTGAATATAAACAATAGTTTACACTTTCTAACCCGTTATAGTACAATGGATACACAACCCAACAAAATAAAAATGTTGTTATTATGTACTTAGCCTCATGTCGATCCATACCTGAATGACTTTCTTCTTCTGCGGAACACAAAATAAGATATTTTGAAAAATAACTTGTAATTGGTATCCCAACAAAATTTGTTGGAGCCCACTGGTCTAAAATGTATGGACCAAAAAACCCACTGAGACATTTCTCATAATATCTTCTTTTTGTCCAACAGAATAAAGAAAATCATACAGTTTTGGAACAACTTGAAGGTGAGTACATTCTAGCAGAATTTTCATTTTTGGGTGGAGTATCCTGTTAAACTTTTATCTATAGTTCTTACACCTGATTAAAGGTAAATGCACTCCACTGCATAAGAATAACA